ATTATTATTATTATTATTATTATTATTATTATTATTATTATTATTATTATTATTATTATATTACATACCACCATCGCATCCCACCGCATACCATACCATACCATACCATACCATACCATACCATACCATACCATATCATACCATACCATACCACACCATACCGTACCATACCACACCGCACCACACAATACCACACCACTATGTTTTAACTCTTCCTGTCGCAAACGCTACCACTGACACCAGTTATGTTTCATCCTCTGTCTCCAGGAGTACGCTGCCTCGCAGCATCACGAACCTCCCACGTCTGGTCATCTGCCTCTTGCTCGTTATCATCGAGAGCTTCCTGGCCATGGTCGCCACAGTCATTGTAATTCGCCGCGACAATTTGGAGAAGAAAACTTCCCAAAAGGACACTTCCACATTCGCTTCAAATCAAGAACCCCCAACGGATTCTACTCCTGATTTAGAGAGCATCGGTACCGTCAGAAAATGCCGGGACTCTGTGACAAGGATAGAAGACTTCAAGCCCGTGCAGGCCACAGACGTCCAGAACCTCGACAGCATGCAGCAGAAGCAAAGATCCGACAGTAAAGAATCGCTCTCCACCCGTCCTGTTGCAGCAGACGGGACACAAAGCTGCCGCGTTAGGACAACTGCACTGTCACTGGATCACTTCTTCTTTTGTTGTTTTGTTGTGGCTATCATAATGATGTACTCTCTTGTCTGGATCATCCCCACTCCTTCTCAAGACTTTGATTAGGATCGCCAAACTAAAATAAAAATGGAAGCCAAAATAAATTGTAGCCCTCCCGTCGGAACTTATTTGGTCTAGTACGCTTGTCGGGGGTCTCTTTTATCAGTTGGTTAGAAGCGGATCGTGGTGATGACATGCGCGACAGACGCTTTAACTTAGGCCTAGTGAAGAATGAAGGCAAAAAGGTGGAAAGTGGCGGGAAACGAAGTCTACTTTCTCGAGGACGATAACACCTTGGCCTAGGGAAGATGAAAATGGTACAGTTGTAGGTTAAGATCTGCCTTGAGAATGCAGACTGTTGAGGTGTAGGAAAGTCCAAGCTGCAGATCGTATAGTCTCATGGGAATCGACTATTGAAATCTGCACCCTGGTGACGTTTAAAGGCGTGTGGCTGGTGTGTGTTTGACCTGAAGTGGTCATTTTAAGGAAATGTTTACTTCTCATTCGCTATAGATCCAAACTGACTGAACTTCTCTACTTGTGACACCAAAGGTCTTGAGAGCACCTAAGCATTCTTTCCATGCTGTGCGCAGAACTTACGAACCGTCAGGGATCGTGAGTTTATGGAGAGGTAACGTTCAATACAAAAAGTTCTCTGCTCTTTACTAAACCCAACCATGATCTAAGCAAGTAAATGAAATTTAGGAAAAATAATATCTGCAGACTTCTGTTGACTTGTTAGATTGCTGTAGCTTGCAATATAGCACGATTGTTGAAACCTTCAGTGGTAAATCTAATGCAAACTGGTGCGCCATGCTACGAAAATGGGGACAAGGTTGAAATTGCGTTGGTTTTCTTTCATGCCCAAAGTAGAACAAAACCATTCCACGGACTTATTTTAAATGAATATCAGACAAATTCCTTTTGGCTCCCAAATATTATGTTCAAATCTGAAACGCAAAACTTCAGTATTAAGAAGATATTTTTACAAAACAAGTTGTACAGGGTTTTTTAAAAATCACCCTGTACCTTATCATCTTCTGTATCTCAAGGGAGCAGGGGAAGAGGGTTCTCGTGGTCTTGAGGTTAAGATGTTCGTCTCTCATTCAATAGGTCCTGAGTTCGAATAGCGACGGAACAAAAATTTTCTCCAAAATGTTTTCTTTTCACATCCTCTCCTGCTTTCTAACAATGTTCTGTTTCACTTTCTGCCGCCACCCCCTCTCCTCCTTTGCCCCCTCCTCTGAGCTCCTGACTCTTTCCGCAGCCTTTCTACTGCTACTCTTGGCTCCTTCTGGCCGCTTTCTTTCAGCCACACCCCTGGTCTCGTGGTAGGAAAGATCTACACCTAGCCTTCTCGGACAAGGGCGAAAAATTTCGGAATTCCCGTGTGCAAGTTGTGCAGGTTAAGGAAAGATCCATTGGTGGTCCAAAATCGATCGAGTAGGCTTTAGCCGATATTTGGGCATTATTCAAATTTTCCCACCCTCTGAAAATGTTTAATGCGTCCCGCGCGCTCATATGACTTTATTAAGTTACGAGTTAAAGATGGGGGGGGGGGTTGTCTGCAGTTCAGTATTCTACAAGTGTGCTCATGTCCATTGTCCATATCGCTGATGTCTGACACTAGGCCTCCAAATTAGGTTAAATACTTTTTTGTTGTTGTTTGGGGGGGGGGGGGGGGTAAATTAGTCTCTTTGTCGTTGGTTTTGGGTTGTTTTTTGTTTTCTGTTTTTGTTTTGCTTTTGATATCTTCCAAAATGGCTCAAATGTTGTGTGAAATGTTCATTATACTTATTTTAGTGTCAACAATAATTACGGCTGTAGATAACATAATTTGAGACCCCAAAGAGTGTTTGACCTTATTTTAGTGAATACACAGAGTCGGTTAACAACGAAGTGCTTTCAACAGTATTTATTATCAAGAGATAATTGGAAAAGCGGATTTCTCCGACCCTACCTTTTTAATATGCCCCCATTCACACAGTTTAGATCAATTAGGAGGAGGGCCAACTCGATTTATTAAAAATTTTCTCCTCATTCAGGAATCGAACTTGAGTCTCCTGTATGCGACAGGAAAGCGCCTAGCCACAACATGTCACTAGTTACTTCGCAACTTTCATGACGATGTGGTCATTCCAAATGTTTATCATCAAAACCGTTTCATCAAAACCGTTTCAGACAGATTTAACTGTTATAGGACAAAAATAGACCACACAATATGATGAAGGGACCCTAAGAATTCTGAAATAAACAGGAATTGAGACACTTTATTACACTGAAGCTGTGCCAACACATTTCTCTAGACTCTAGGAGAACAGATTCATGGGATGATTCGTTATAATCTACTTCAGAAAAAGGACTCACTTCCCTGGTCTGGCCATGTCGCAAGAATGCCTTATTTCAGAATCCCAAAGGCAGTGTTCTTTCTATTCTGAACTTTCCTCAGGGAAGCGTAAGGTTGACGCACCAAAATTTCACTACAAGGACACCCTGATGATGTCTCTGAAGGACTTCAACATAAACCCTTCAGCAGTGGGAGAGCCTCGCTCTTGAAAGACCTAGCAGGAGAGCAGCAGTCACAGTGGGCAGCAAATCACTTGAGGCTTCACGAATAAGAAATGAGGAAACTAAGAGTAAGAGGGAAGCCTGCAAGCTGCACACATGCACAAGTGGAATTGGAGCCTTCTAATGTTCAAAATGTGACAAACTTTTCTCTGCCAGAGTTGGTGTCATCGGCCACAGCAGAAGCCACAAGTCATTGTGACCTTTGATTCTTCAAATTATTTCGCTGGAGAAAATTTTAATATTCTTCTCTGCGAATGTATTGGTATTCTTTAGTCAGCAGTCTTCTCTTTATGTTTTAGGTCTCCAGGGCTGCTCTGACCTAGATTGCTGTTCCATTCACTGCAGTAACAGTCCCATTGACCACTGCAGAGACAGTCCCATTCATCACAGCTTCAACGGTGGTATTCAGACAGGTTGCCATATCAAAGGGGGTCTCAACGACCAATACACCTGTGACGGTGAAGGATAAATAATAATATGTTAATATTCATACACACACGTATACAACATTCACTATAAGATACATGCTTTTTTACATTCCTGACAAGTCTCTATCAGATTGATTTGACAGTGATGACTCAACAAGTTCCGGACATTTAAGACTAGTTAATGTACAACAAATTAAATCCCTGGACTCACAATATTCTTACGAAAACAATAGAAGAACTTCTACCAAATTCGTCACCTACAAAATCTCATTTCAGCCATTAAAGTAGTATGTGCACAAATGTTTAACTCTATACATCAATGCAAAATCGTGTTTGTCCTTCTAGAATGTCACCTTAAAAATAAGCAGTTGTGAAAAATTCACTTTCTCAGGCCTTAAATGTCTGTCCTCAAAGTTACAAAGCAAAGTCAGAGAAACCTTTTAACTGTTAATATGAGTTTAATAAATACTTACTTGAAAAGTTCTCTGTGAATTACGTCTGCTAAAAGGCTGCTCATTGTCCGTAGTATCAATGATGGCATTAGTAAATTATGCACATCATGAACAAAAGAAAATGTAAACTGCGGGTTCTTAGTATTTGTTTCTTATCGATTATGCACGTTATATTAAATGTCGAGTTTCTCGCCATTTGTTAATTAAACATTTATGATTCATGTGGGCTAAGTTCAAGTGTTCAAATCTTTTCGAAGTAGAATGTGATTTGAAACTACATTTAATAGTCTTAACCATGTATCATAAATATCCAAGTCAAATTAGGAACTTCCCATATTTCTATTAGTGCACTCACCAGCCACACATGCAGTCAGCAGGTTTGTGACGATGCCACCAAGCAGAGCAGTTACTGCCAGCTGAGCCAGGTCTCCCAGCCGGTTAGGAGCCATAGGGCCCAGACCTCCAAGTTGGATACCAATGGAACTTAAATTAGCAAACCCACACAGAGCGTAGGTGGCTATAATCTCTGAGCGAACCTGTCACGAAATAAACATACTAAGACTTAGTAACTAAAGCAAAAAACAAAGTAACCTTCTGCATCCATATCCTACTCAATACAATCACGTTCTCATTTTCCCCTCGATCATTTTTGCTACACTTATGTCAGTTTAATTAGATTTGTTGTCAGTACTGTAATTCTCTTTTTTGTTTTGAAGAAGAAAATTTTCCGTCACTCTCCAGATTGGAACCCGGGACCTATTGAATGAGAGGCGAACGCAGTAATCTCTCGACCACATGAGCCCCGTGCCTTTCTCCTGCTGATGTCTTCAGTGCAAATATGCATAAACCAAACACAATATTTGATGCTGAGTGCTGAGCAAAGAAACTGTATGTCTAAATAACTTGAATGCACTCTGTAAAATCAGAACTCTCCCTCCCACTCCCCCCCACCCCACCCCCCACCCCCCAAAAAAATCGAACCATTTTGAAGTCATAAACTGAGTAGAGCAGTAGGAAGAATGAATTTGCACTACCACATTCCACAACATTTTATTTCACTTTTTAAAAGATGAAAAAATCTAGGTATTGACTTTGTTTGTTTTTTCAGAATTCTGTATACAGTGGGCTTCAGCCGTAATAGGACCACCAGGACAAACGTAACCCCGTTATAACCAAATCACAGGAGGGTAAACATGCAAGATGTCACACAGAATCTCCCTACAAGAGACAAGTGTAATAGCAACATTTTCTGACTACACTTACAGAAATTACTGTTCCGCCACGACATAAAACCCGATTGTCAATAAAACTTGACAGTTTGTCATATGCAATAAACTCGTTGAGGAAAGTCTTGATTCCAAGCAACTCGGCAACAGTTCCAGCATCTTCCCACTCCACACCCATGATGTAAGCCAAGGGCATCAGCACATAGGAACAGATCACCTGCGAATTATCAAGCGTTTCCATTAATAATAAGTATGACACCTGAAATTTCTCATGATATGAACAATTTCACGACCATATATATATACAACCAACCTGCCGAAATATATCTGAAACCCTCAACATTCTTTGCCTCTTGTCTTTGAAAAGGAGAACTCATGATTAATATGCAGCGAACAAGCAACGAGCTTTTCATGCTCAGTGACTTCTAGTTATTTTTTCACTGAAAGTGAATGCAAATCTCAAGACTAGTTTACAGTTTTTTGTAAGAAATTTTACGGCACTATCAAAATTTAAGGTCACAATATAGGTATTACAAATGAGTAACAAACACAAAAATAAAGAGGGGAGATAAGGACAACAGACTGATGTTTGATAGGAAAGAAGGAGCAAACCACACCAGAGCACCCACCAACCGCCCACAATCTCAATATTAAAAAGAGCAAAGCCATGTTTATCTGGATATCAAATAACTGCAATAAACACTGTCTCATGAAGAAGGAAAAGGACAAAAGCTGAGACCGGAAGACTGTTTCTTTCAACTCTTGTTTCCACGTCAGCAGACTCGCGAACAGGACAATTCATGCACCGAGTCCACCATATTATTATCACAACTAAGTTTTAGTTTTGGTACGAATTTTATGGCTTTTGCAACAATTAGGTTACATAAAAGATTAGATGTGTTACAAGAGAGTAATAAAAAATAAAAAAAAAGATTAGGACGTTAAATGATTAATAACAGAGAAGGAGCCAACCACGTCAGAGCACTTGCCAACCACCCTCTATCCTAACTAAATAAGCTTGATTGAAATATTGTAAGCAATACCCCAGACTGCCTCTATGTTTGTAATAATTGCATTCAATTAATCCGTAAATTTATCAAACAGTCAAAGCAAAAATACTTTTTGTTTTACCTCAAAGCTTAGTTCAGGGTGGCACACAAAGCTTCCGAGCCATGAAATAGCATCGTTGACGAAGTATAGGAGGCCCACAAAGGCTATGAGGTTAGCCCCAACGTTGGCTACCAGAGAAATGGCAGCAGACGCACCTGCAGCAGCCGCTTCAATCACATTGTTGTAGACACTGAAAAATGAAACCGAGCAGTCTTATTGAAAAACTGACCTTTCAGAGGAAAAACTCAATCTAACAAATCATTGATTAAACAATACACAGTATTACACTGATAGCCCAAATTCGTCGGGACCCATCTCGGTAGTTTGGCGGATCCATAGTTCAAGGGGTATCTTACAAAGATAAATTATAAAGAGAAAAACAAACGGGACCGCAGGCACAGTTCGATTTATGCGTGATTTCAAGTCTTCTGTGATCGACCTATCCGTGTTATACTATAACTAGTTCAGAACCACAAAACTGGAAATTCAAACCTCTGCCCTCTGCATCATAGCCTGGCATGATACCAACGGCACTAACGACTTGTCTGATCACACAGACGGTGGAGGAAGAGCCAGCGTGTCGATGAAAGTACATCAGTTAAGATGAATGGAACATCATCAGTTTGAAGTAGCAAAAATGAAGAAAAAATCACAAATGCAGGAGTTCTGCAACTTATTTGTAATGAGAAAAGTGATTCCGCGCAAAAATGTTGTTGAAATTCTTACTTTGCGCAGTTGCTTACCAAAATAAATATCACAACAAAACTTTCAAGCGAACGCAGAACAAAGAAACAACCGACACAGCCTCACAGTAGAGTTGATTTAGCAGCATTGGCATATAATAATATTATTGTGAAGAACAATTTAATTCTAACATGATAACTGCTGAGTGGCTGAGATTGATAAAATAATTACATTTGTGTGACGATGCGGTGGAATCGGGTGCTAATACTTTTTTATCACATGGCGTTGTTGGTATCATATTAAAGCTTGTTCATGTATCTATCTTACGGTTTAAAAAATACATATATCTTTCTTCATTAGAAGTCGAGTTATTTGAGGTTGAAGGATGTGGAGGATCGCCTGGCTTTAGAGGTAAAATTAGCGAGAAAATGGCTGCTATAGTTTAGTGAATTCCTTGACTTGAGAGTCTTTGGAAACTGAATATTTACATGTCGTGTGCCTTTTGTAAACCTTTTCCAGTAAAATCCACACAGATACGTGTTTTTAAATGGACATAAAAGGTATTGAGCAAAAAAAAACCCCAAAAAACCAACAACAAAAAATCGATTTTAAAAATGCCAAACTGGCGGGAAAAGGATGATATCTTCGACATCATTATTTTGATGACAGACCGATTCTACACGATGCCTCACATTTCAGCTGTAAGATAAACCTACTTCTTTTGCTCGATTGCCTCCTTCATTTTTGCAATTTTGCTGCGGCCTAACTCAGGATACAGTATTTTTGAAACAGCAAGGGCTGTAGGTGCATTCATGACGCAAGCTGTCAGTAGATGAGTTGCTGGTACCTGCAGAGAAAAAAAAAGTTCTAAACATCATACCTATGACAGTCGACAACAGAAATAGAAATGATAACATTTTTTGCTGCGTAAGAGGGGCAAGTTGACAACAGATGAACCAAAAAATTCCTTTAAGTGGGGAGATTTGCTCTCCATCGAATCTTGGTCCCAAATGGACAAAGTCCACATTATTTCTAATTAGCAAGTATTGCAAAACTAGATTACAATAACCAAACTCTTTGACAATAACTATTATACCACTACTTTCAAAATAAAAGCTGCTAAATTTGCAATTAGAGAGAGCAAGACATTTTATGACATTACTACAGGGTGGTCACGAAAAAAAATTCACAACTTTATTCCTGAATATCTCGCAAAAAAGTTGTTCTAGAATGTTGTAATTTGGATAAGACATAATTCGCTAAAAAAAAATAGTTTGACATAAAATTAATGAAGATAAAACTTCTTTTGAAAACGAAAAAAAAAAAATCAGCCCATAAATGCAAAGTGCATCAATTTTTTTTACCTCGCAAAGAAAGTCTTGAAACGACTGGTTGGCTGTTTCTTTACATTCTCTTTGACATTTAATTTTCTACCTCTGTAACATTCAAACATTTTTTTTTACCTTTAAATAAAGCTAACGTCTTTATTCTGTAATTCCAAAAGGCAGTGATCGTTACCGCGTCGTTCTAAATTTTCAATAGAGGCCAAATACAAGACTCGCTAGATCAAGGCTTAAGCACAAGGGGGCTATCCCGATAAAATATGTTGTTTTGAGAAATCGAAGGTAAAGTCATTGCCCCTCGTTCAGTTTCTTTAAAAGACAAGGAGAGATTTCTCTATAAACAAACAAATATACACACCAATGATACTAAATTTCTCCAATGCCCACTTTTGGTGTAGATCAAAATTTCTGAAAACCAAACCCCCAAAATCTGGGTGAGCCCGCTTGTCCTTAAAAGCGACCATATTCAGTGGAGTTTGCATCCTAAAAGGTGATTATGGGCTTTGCACAGAACTAAATGTCACCGAAGAAATGCTCTCGCCTTCCAAACCCTGAACACATTGATCCATGATCTGATCCATGTTATCTCCGCCGAGGGAACATGAAAATGTTACGGTTGTAGGTTAAGATGTGCTTTGAGAATGCAGAACTTTGAGGTGTGGAAAAGTCCTAGCTGCAGACGTCTTCTGCGGACAGACGTCTCATTGGACTTGGCAACTGAAATCTGCACCCTGGTGACGTTTAAAGAGCTGCGAATAGTGCATGTTCGACCTGAAGAGGTCGTTTTGTTTGGGAATTTTTAGTTTTGATTTGCTATGGATTAAAACTGACGGAACTACTCTACCCAAGGCACCAAAGAAGGTCTTGAGGGCGCTTTAGCATTCTTTCCATTCTCTGCGCAGAACTTAAAAAATGGCAGGGATGGTGAGTTGGTGGAGAGGTATTGTTCGATACAAAAGGCTCTCTAATCTTTACTAAATTTAACAATAATCTCACCACTTGTTTGACAGCAGTAGCTTGCAATATTGCGCGATCATTGCAACTTTTAGTGGTTGGCCTAATGCGAACTGGTGAGTCATGCTACAAAAATGGGGACAAAACAAGGTTGAAATCATGTTGTTTTTTATGCGCCATATAGAGCAAAGCTTGTTTGTTCAAATACGAAACTCAAAACTTCAGTATGGAGGAAAATATTCACAAAACAAGTTATGAAGTTTTTATCGGGATCACAATGTACATCACCTAACCATTCATAATATAAGCTGCTGGTTTTGCAATTGGACAGAGCAAGACATAAATGGTACTACAACATCACCTACCCCTTTCATAATATAAGCTGCAACTATAGCACCGGCTATGGTGCCAAACCCTCCAACCATGACAGCATGGAGTTCAGAACGTGTCATGAGAGCCAAAAATGGACGAACCATTATTGGTGCCTCAGTCTGTGAGGATAAAAAGAAACCTTAACTGTAAGAACAGTTTTAAGAATTAGGTTTTTTTTAAATTGCCACTTATTTTTTTTACCAGCTTAGTCACTTCAAACAATAGAGAAGGCTATTATTCAGGAACAGTCTGAGTTTCCTCTCTACATTCGTCAAATGTTTATTCTTGTAGTCATGGCATCCCAAATATATTAATTAAGAGAAATAAGACATTGATCCAAAAAGTTCCCGTGCAATACTTAAACGAACAGAAAAGGCCTAGAATTAAGGAAATAAGTTATGTACATAAATATGAAGAAGCAAAGGCCATGAAAATTCACTTTATAAAAATGTCCAGGAGAGTCTTACACTTTACATTTATTTGCATACTAAACAATTAAAACTGAAGACTAAGTCAGTATAGGAGACAGCCATACATCCTTTCTCACCTGTCCTACAAAGATGTTCCCTGCAGCACACAAAGACTCAGCAGCTGTGGTGCCCAAGGTAACTCTCATGACAAAGGCAATTTTACCGATGATGACTTGCATAACACGGAGGTGGTAAAGCATTGTAATTACGCAGCTGAAGAAAATTATTACTGGAAGAACCTGGAGAAGAGAAGCAGACATATTTCATTTTTCTCAGAGTCTAATACTAATATGTGTATGTATTTTTACCACAACAGATTAAACATTCAACATTATTACCATTGTAGTAAAAGTTGGTTCATGACTACAAAATACTCTGTCGACTGCTTGACCTTTGGAGAGAAAACATATTGGCCAAAAGGTCATAAACATCACAACAGTGAAGACATCAAATATTCAAGGGTTGTGAACAATATGCCAAAACTTCCGTCTTCATCTGATCCAGTATTTGCCTTTACGGAGGAAAAAAGACACCATGTGTATCCATATTTTCCAGAACAAGAGAAAACAAATAACGCCCTAAAGAATGAAACTTTTTTTTTTTTTTTTTTTTTTTGGGGGGGGGGGGGGGGGATTACGGCGCTCGCAACTGCATAAGGTCATATGAGCGCGCGTGACATACTAAACATTTTCAGTTGGTAGGAAATGTTGAAGTTTGCCCGGGTGGTGACCGCAGCCTACTGTTATCGATTTTAGACCACCAAAAGATCTTTAACGTGTGCAGCTTGCTCACGGGACCTCCGAGATTTTTCGCCCTTGTCCGTGAAGGATGGGTGATCTTTCTTACTAGATGATCAGGGGTGCGACTGAAAGACAGCAGTAAGAAGGAGCCAATGAGTAACAATAGAAAGGCTGCAAAAAGAATCAGAAGCCCAGAAGGAGGGGGGGGGGGCAAAGGAAGTGAGGGGGCAGTGGCCGAAAGTGGATACGAAAGCACATTGCTAGAGAGCAGAAAAGAAGGTGAAAGTGAAAGGTGACAATTTTGGAGAAGAAAATGTTTCCGTCCCTACACGGATTGGAACGCCGGATCTTTTGAATGAGAGGCGAACAACAGAGGGCACGAGAGTTCCCAAAGAATTAGTCACATGAGCAGGTTATATATATATCATATATATAAATATATATACATATACATATTAGGTAAACCAATTTACATTACTGATTTTGTCACCGTTTAAACTTTTATCTTTCATATGGGACATAACAATATCCACCACTCAGAGAGAGAAGGAGAAGAAGAAACAAACATGACCAGCTAGTTAAGATAATAATAAAAGTAAACAAAAAATTATACACCCAATTAGATGCGTTCTAAATGATCAATCAAAAGAATGTTGTTACCTTAAAGGCAAAGAAGTGATCATCCAGATTGCCAAACACAAAAGTTGCTCCATATTCGCTGTATCTGAGAAACGTTGTGAATCCGTTTCCAATACCATTAAATATGTCGTAACCTTTGTCCCATTTCAATATCAGAGTGGCAAAGTAAAACTGCAGTGCGAAGCCACCAACAACGGGCCTCCATTTCACCTGAGGACAGAAGATGTCCCATTTAAAAAGATATATATATATATATATATATATATATATATATATATATATATATATATATATATATAATATGATGTTCGTCCTTCGCTGGCGAAGATGACCTTGACTTCACATCACTGGAGGGGTGGGGTGTCTTCGCACGGAAATGTCTGTCGCAGTGGGGGCAGGGTATGTTTGGGGCTGAAATAGGCTCGAAGGTAGGGCTCTCTCGGTCGTTTCTCAGCTGCCGTCTCCATTTTTTCTTTCGGACGCGACTTTCTTCGAATTTCGCCACACCCGATCTTATTAACGAGTGCCAAACGGTGCGGTCGCGAGCAGCTTCTTCCCAGGTGGTATGGGGAATGTCACAACTCTTCAGGGATGCTTTCAGAGCATCTTTGAAGCGTTTCTTTTGTCCGGCGAGAGAGCGTTTGCCTTGGGTCAGTTCACCGTAGAGTAGCCTCTTTGGGAGGCGAGAGTCGTCTATGCGGTGAACATGGCCGGCCCATCGGAGCTGAGAGCGTAGTAGGATAGCGTAAATGCTCTCTCCATCTTGGCCCGCTGTAGTACCTCAGTGTTTGGGACTCTGTCTTGCAACTTGATATGAAGCAGTGTCCTGGGGCATCTCATGTGGAAGGCATTGAGCTGCTTGGCATGCTGGCTGTACACTGTCCACGTTTCGCAGGCGTAGAGCAGGGATGGCAGAACTACTGCTTTGTACACTTTGAGCTTGGTGTTAAGGCTCCGTCCTCTTCGCTCCCAGACCTTGTCTTTCAGTCTACCGAAGGCTGAACTAGCTCTAGCAGTTCTGTAGGCCATTTCCTCATCGATATTGACCGAACGAGAGAGGGTGCTGCCAAAGTAGACAAACTTATCTGCCACTGCCAGTCTCTGGTGCAATGGGGCTCTTCGTAAGGAGCCGATGGGGCTGGCTGGTACAGAACTTCGGTCTTCTTTGTGGAGATAATGAGGCCGAAATTTTCGCAGGCTTTAGAAAAACGGTCCAGGCTTCCCTGCATGTCTGACTGAGTACTGGCATTCAGCGCGCAGTCGTCCGCAAAGAGGAAATCGCGGGCTATGCCTGCATGGAATTTAGTCCTCGCCTGCAGCCTCCGAAGGTTGAAGAGTTTTCCATCAGTGCGGTAGCGAAAACCGACACCGATATCTCCGTCGTGGTAGGCGTTGGTCAGCATAGCTGAAAACATCATGCTGAACAGAGTGGGGGCCAGCACGCAGCCCTGCTTCACTCCATTAGTGACGGGGAAAGGCTGGAAGTAGGGTGCATCCATGACGTCTTGTTACGATTGGGCAGGCGGAAGACCGTGTTGGTGATGAGGAGATCGTGGGCAGCGCAAGTTTCCAACAGGAGGAGTCCGTTGCTGTTGCAGTTGCCAACACCGTGTTTCCCTAACACTCCCTCCCACGACTTGTGGTCTCTGCCGACTCGAGCATTGAGGTCACCAAGGATGATGAGTTTGTCTGCCCTGGGTACAGCTGTGATGGTCTTTTTTAGGTCCTCGTAGAATTTTCCTTTTATGTCGTCGGGGTTGGTCATAGTGGGTGCGTAAGTGCTGATTAGCGTGGCGAATTTCTTCTTGGGGAGCGGGAGGCGGGCTGTCATCAGGCGATCGTTGATTCCCTTAGGGGGAGCTGCCAGCTTGTTGACCAGGTTGGACTTGATAGCAAAACCAACCCCTGCCTCGCGACGCTCGTCGAGTCCACGACCGATCCAAAAGAATGTGTAGCCGGCAGACTGCTCTGTGAGTTGTCCTTCCTCAGCGAGGCGAGTCTCACTGAGGGCGGCTATCTGTACTTTATATCGACCCAGTTCGCTGGCAATGAGGGCCGTCCGTCTTTCGGGACGGTTACTCCCTGAACGGTCAAGGAGGGTGCGCACATTCCATGCGCCAAGGGTGATGGTCATCTTAGATTTTTTTGAGTTCTTCTTACCGCTGGTATGGGACCCTTGCTATCTCATTCACTGAAAAGCGACCACAAGGCCTGGACCGCCTACGTGTAGAGTTGTGACTACGACTGCCAGTGTGTCCACACCTGTCGCTTGGCCACTCGTCCATCGCCGCAGGACTTGAGAAATGATGTGGGTGATGATTGAGGTGGGGATGATGAAGTCATGACTTGCGCTTGAATTTGATTTAAGTGAGGGAGAGTTGCGCAAAGTCGTCAGCCTCACTCTCTTGTCCCTGTCCATCTAGTTCCGGTGGCACGACGAAATCGAGACGGCCGGAGATGGGCCTGGATGCAGCGGATGGCCAGCAGTGTCTTCTTGTCTCACTGTGCCCTTGTCGCGCTCCGCGGCGCTCTGCTGGGACCGCCTTTCTGCCCGTTGAACCACCGAGTGGTTTCGTCCGCGCAGTCCGCCGGAGCCAGTCTTTGCATGCGTAGGGAGACAGACCCTAGTTATCTCACTAGTGGGTTTGAAACCCGACCAGCTACCCTCTACCTGGTTCAGCCCGCCTGCCAACGCAGTTACCGGGGTGTGGCCGCTGCGCATGCTGCAGCTATGTGGAGCCACAGGTGAGAGTTGAGTGTCCGGTGGGAACCAATGTAGAGAGGGCTGTCCTGAAAAGGACATGGCAGGCCTTCCCCATACAGAGGTACTATCCCTCCCTGACCACTCCACACCCCATATATAATATATATATATATATAAATATATATATATATATATATATATATATATATATATATTTAGAGGCAAAATAAACGCGAAATTTTCATCATCATTAAAAAACTAGTCAAAGTTTCCATTATTGAGTACTGTTTACGTGTTCCAGTGAAGCATGGTCTGAACCTGCTAGATTGAGCTCATTCGAACAATGCAATGTCCTGATTGGTCGCTTTTGCCAAAAAACAGCTGTACGGCTATCACAGCTCAGGGATACTCACTTGCCATATCATTCAAGTTGTGAGTTTGTGTTCATGTGGTCACGTGGTCCTGGCCTACAGATTTGAAGCCCCGAACTATAGAATTCAGTAAGAAACAAAAGCAGTATCAAGATGCTGAGACTTTCATCAGAAAACCGTGAGAGGGCTATTAGAAGACTAAACACGAGCAAGCCGAGCAACTACTACAGGCGTACATGTCTCCACCATCTACAGTCTACTAAACCAGTTTCGCGCCACCAATGCGACCAGTGATCTCCCGGAGCCGGAAGACCAAGGGCGACAATTGTAGCTGAGGATTACCTCATGGTGCGCCAATAATGGTTGCATCCGTTCCTGACAGCCGCCGAGACCACCAGGAACACCATTGGATGAACTGGACGGGCCCTGGGTACCAGAACCGTACGGTGGAGATTACACTCCACATGCCTCCGGTGCAAACGGCCATGTCGCAGGCCAGTTCTGACCCCTCAGCATCGCTGTGACCGGCGTCTGTGAGCACAGACTCACACGAACGGGAGGAACAGACAACAGAGAAGGGTGATGTTCACCGTCAAGAGCAGATCCTGCCTTGATCCGTCAAATTATGGAAGCGTCGGTGTGTGGCGCACAGACCTGGCGTGCTACACTGATGCCATTGTTGTAGAGAGAGACCCTTGGAGATCAATCGTTATGATTTAGGGAGTCATCGTCCTAAATTAAAGAACTGGACTACTGTTGTGCCAGAAAGTAGGTCATGATCAAGGAAATGGAGTTACAGCTCAGAGCTACATTCACCAAGTGGTGTCCCTTCTCTAAAGGCATATTAAAAATGTATTTTTCCAGCAAAACAACGCGAGACCTCATCCAGCCCGTATAACACAGCAATTTGTGGGATAGATCAACATCAGTCTTTTGCCTAATCCGGCTAGTGCAACTAATTTAAACCGCAAGCAAGCAAGTTTGGAACGGTAACCAGAGGCAGCTCAATCAGCTGCACCACCACCACGGACAGCTCATCAAATGGCTTCAGCCATCGGTCATGTGTAGATACAGATCCCAGGCCGACAAATAAACACTCTCGTGAGCTCCCTGGATCAAAGATACAGAGCGGTTATTGCAGCCAACGGAGGTCACACAGGGTATTGACTTTCTGCCCCAAGGTCAAGGTCACAGAAATAACATAGTGAGACTAAACCTACACTAAAACAATCATCTTTTGACACTCTCATGGCTATGGACGACTTAAATTTTTATTTACCCATAACAAACCCCTGTTGAGTGTAGTGTGTTTTATTCATGCTTTAGTGACTCGCGTTTCTTTTGCCTCTGGGGGTTTGTAAGATAATGATAATATGTTGCCCAGTATAATACCCGATAGTGTCATTATTTAAAGAAAAACATAACAAGAGGGACCTCAACTTTAAACACAAAAGCGTGAAGGCTATCCAACTGCTAAAATTAATGATGAAATAATTCCATGAAATTTCATTGGCTTTGTCTGACACATTGATATTTTCATTTGCCAACAAAAACTCGAAACCACAGCATCATTCAAATCGTATAATCTTCAGTACAAACATACCTTTCTTGGAGCTCTTGAGCAGAGGATCATGGCGCATACTAAAAACATCCAGCCAATGAGAGAAATGAGATTTGATGGTCTTTGAACAGCTGACACGATGATGATTGCAAGAATGCCCAAAATAGGTGCAATTGCAAGGATCCTGAAACAACATTTGTATGGTATCAGGTATAGATTCAGGCAAGTCACAAAGCAAGCACTGAAAAGATTAACAAATATATAATAATATGGTTCACTTTTCTCTCGGCTACTGACAAACTGTTGTCATTACATATTTTGACCTTTGCAAAAAGATTAAAATAGCTTAGATAAAGCAAACTGGTGATGATACTACTTTTTCCTTTCTCTCTCTGGCTGAACTATGAAAAGTTCCAAAGACAAAAACAGTCAAGTAAAGGTTAAATAAACGGGTTCAGTTGGGGTTACATCATTTTGGTGTGACCAGCATGTGCTACACTAACATGATTTTAAGGAAAACCAATTGTTTACTTTTCTACCTCACACAAATAACTTCAATTAAATAATTCAAAATATAGAAAAATAAAGATCTGAAAATCGGCATTATCTTTCCATTCTCGTTATGATTCAAACGTTGTGGCAATACTACCTGGGAATATGTTGAGCTGGAGACTGAGAACAGAGATGGATACATTTCCTTTCTGCTTATATAAAAGGCCAGTAGCACACCAATAAAAAATGAAGAATGACACAGACATCTATCTCTGAACGCCTATATTCTCTTACTTACAAACCTATGATAACAGACCTTCAAAGAGGGCTACTAACACCTGCACCCTTTCTTTTTCCAAACTTAACATTGCAGCAGTCAAATCCAAGGCCGGAATGATTTGTGACCACAGAAAAGATACTTAATAACCCAGCATTTACACAAAAAAGGCAGCAAGGTTTCAGAAATACGACTTACTTATTTAAAATAAACACAGTCTAATATAAATATTATATAAAGTTAACTCGAAAAAACTAACCATTTCAAAATGTGCCAGTGGTTACTGATACTTTTGTTCAGAGGTACAAGAACTGACTGTTTGATGCTATCTGAAAACTTTTTCTTTACAAATGTTATGATGACAATGAGCAGAGCAGCAACTGTGAGACAGATGAGGGGCACAACATCATGGTCCTCATCGCATTTGTGGATGGCAGCAACGACCAACGCCCAGATAAAGTAACCTGCATATGCCATGCACAGGATTGCAAGCACTATCTGTCGAACGAAAAAAGGGCAGCATTATCAATCAAAACTTCCTCACCGTATTATTATATACGTAACTTCAGATCATAAATGTGCAGCATCACAAATTATGAGAACAACCATAGGTAATGCAATCATAAAATTTTTTAAAAGAAAACTAAGATTAGCGTATTATACTTAGACATAAATTCTGATGCCTGTGTTCAATTACGAAATACAAATAAACCGTAAAAAGACAGGAACACAACTCTGGCTATTTAATCTGCAGCCCCGGTCAAATAAAAGACACGAATATTAAAACTGCCTATGTTGGCCAAAAAATGTACATGTTTTCAAAAGCACTAGAATATTACTGGCTTGAAGGTGTATGAAATTCTTGTTTTATTTTTTAAAAACCCAGACAGAACGGAACAAAAAATATATACAGAAGACATGACTTTAAGTATGAAAGTTATAAAGGAAAGAGACAGAACGAAGTAAGGTGAAATGAACACATACCCATTTCAACTTGCATCCACAGCAATCGCTCAGAGTACCAATGACTGGTACTGCCTGACTGGAATCTGCATCCTCATCCTCATCAACGGCAGCCAGCTTGTCTTAAATTTAAAAACAAGCAGAGCCATACAGAGTGAGGTGCTAACGATGAAGCAAGAGACATGTGGATGACATATTGATGGGATAAACTGCTAATTATTATTGATCTTAGCAGTTGTCTGCTAGTTTGCTAACACCTCACCAAACAGCAGCTATGTCATAACAGCAGCACTACAAATCTTACTGTGAGTGCTCTATTTCGTATCATGATGAGCAGATGGCCCTGGTTCAAATCCCAGACAGGGCGTTCTTGATGAGTTTTCAAGGCGCTCAACCCATTTGGCTCGATCCTATCGGAGACAGACGTTAAGTTCGAATATCCAGTCTCTTAAATGATCTAATTGGGTTGATAGGGGAGAAATGTTTAAAGCATTATTAGGTAAATGTGGAAGTATCATGAACCTGCATTTTAAAAGTCTAAATGTACCAAAAGTAAGACAGCCCAATTAGTTCACAAAACTAATGCATTACATTCCGGTGCATGCTATAGAAGTACAGCTCACCATCTTCAATGTCAATTGTCATGTCCGATTTCTCATAGTCCTCTGAGCTCAGCTTCTCCATTTCATCGCATTCACTGTTGTTGGGTGTGGAAACATCAGCAAGCCGTATGCTAACTCCAGAATCATTTGGTCCTGGGATGGGAGCGTTCTTTGAAGAGTTCGTTGTTAAAGGCATCATTGTGTTCTAAATCCATAGCAAACAAAAAATGGAAA